CATGTTCTGCGCATGTTCTGCAGGTGTTCAACACGTGGGGCCCGATGGGCAGCCGTTGGCTTGGTACGAGTGGATCTATGCCAACCCTGGAGAAGTGGTGCGCATGAATGAGCCGGAATTCGTGATTTCGGTGCCACAACATGCCGTGCCCTGCGAGGTTTGAAGGGGGGAGGAGCAATTGCTCGAGTTTTTGCCGGAGTTGCTCTGTTTGAGTATGAACCATCCGGGGTTGTCCCAACAGAAGGTACCCTAAAATCCAGTGGGTATATCATGATTTTCCCAATGAACATTTGTACTCTAAGCTGGCTTGAAAATCACCACCAAAGAATCGAATCCCGATTTTTTCGCCGACCTCCGACCGCCTTAAATACACACAAAAATAATTCATAGAGTATTTCCCAGCTGATCAACAGGAGGTATACCTGTACTATACGCCCATGGCTGATAGGTGGTATGTTCCATTGAGCAATTCGATCCTCGAATGCTCATGAAGAGGCCTGGCAGGCGAGGTGCGGAAATTCAATCCGTGTGTTGGTGCTGCTGCAGATGTCTACAGATAGATTTGGATAGGGATAGAAACTAAAAAAATCATATACATATCTATATAATCCCATGTAATTACGCACAGATATAATCATGTTACATACATACATACATACATACATACATACATACATACATGCATACATGCATACATGCATACATGCATACATGCATACATGCATACATGCATACATATGCATACATATGCATACATATGCATACATATGCATACATATGCATACATATGCATACATATGCATACATATACATATACATATGCATACATATGCATACATATGCATACATATGCATACATATGCATACATATGCATACATATGCATACATATGCATACATATGCATACATATGCATACATATGCATACATATGCATACATATGCATACATATGCCTACATATGCGTACATATACGTACATATACGTACATATACGTACATATACGTACATATACGTACATATACGTACATACATATACATACATATACATACATATACATACATATACATACATATACATACATATACATACATATACATACATATACATACATATACATACATATACATACATATACATACATATACATACTTATACATACATATACATACATATACATACATATACATACATATACATACATATACATACATATACATACATATACATACATATACATACATATACATGCATATACATGCATATACATACATATACATACATATACATACATATACATACATATACATACATATACATACATATCCATACATATACATACATATACATACATATACATACATATACATACATATACATACATATACATAAATATACATACATATACATACATATACATACATATACATACATATACATACATATACATACATATACATACATATACATACATATACATACATATACATACATATACATACATATACATACATATACATACATATACATATAAAAAAAAAAAAACATATTAAAATAATATTACATATTACACATACATACATACATACATTCAATACATACATACATACATACATACATACATACATACATACATACATACATACATACATACATACATACATACATACATACATACATACATACACATACATACACATATAGATACATATATATACATGTAGATACATATAGATACATATACATACATATACATACATATAGATACATATACATACATACATATACATACCATTACATACCATTACATACCATTACATACCATTACATACCATTACATACCATTACATACCATTACATACCATTACATACCATTACATACCATTACATACCATTACATACATTCATACATTCATACATACATACATACATATATATATATATATATGTAGATTAATATATACAGAATACATATTACATATGTATTATGTACGGAGAAAAAAATGGATCGATCAATCGAGCCGGGCCACTGCCCAGGCCCGAGGCGGTGCCGATCCTTTGCAAGGTCTATGAGAAAGTGGACGGGGAGAACCTCTACAGCCACTGGGGCAATGGCGAATCCACCAGTTTCCACCAGTTTCCTTCCGATTTGATGAATTCACTACTTAATTTGGGAATCTTCTGGGTCGGAATCCGTGATTTTTCTGGGATTTTCTGGCGATGTGGAGATTGACATTGACCTGCAAACATGGGGATCTCAGCAACAAAGGATGGTTCTTGGGGCTTATGTCGCTGAGGTTCATGGGGAATCACTATGGGAACTAACAATCAGAAACGATTCGTTCACTTGGTAAACCTAGAGACGCCATCATGAGATCCAAGATGCCGTCTACTTATGGAGATTCTCCACAGGCACTCCATGGTGAATGACCCGAGCTGTTTTGCATGTCTGGAAGGTGTAACTAACCGGCTGGATCGCAAGAAAGTTTGGGCACCTGCTAGGCCCCCCCAGCAAAAGTGTGCGGGTTTCCAAAAATAGCAGATATCACCCAACCAATGCATAGCATCTGGGTGATTTATTCTAGGAGTGGGAACCCATCTTGCTTGGGACCCTTGCTCAAACTCTGATGAAGCTCCATCCATTTGTGGGGCCACTCAACCAACAAAAAACATCAGAATTGCTGAAAGACCCTCGTTAGTATAGGCTATCTATCCTATTTCTGAGTTCAGGGTGGGTGGCTCACCCACAGTACTTTGTTTTGGTCGGCAACTCCATTTTCTTTACGTTTAGACCCAAATTATTTGATTCTTCCCCAATCTTTCGTTAAATCACTCAATTTTTTTGTGCTGAAACCTCCAGTGCTGCAGGTGAACCTCTATTTGGCGGTGAACATCTCCATGTTCTCTTGGTAATCTCCCCATGATATATCTCAGTTACCATGAATATTTGATGAAAGTGAATTGTCAATGGTTAAACCTCTCCAGATATTGTTGTTTGAAGGTCAAATCCCCCAAATCCAAATATCACTGCTGGTTAAATCCAAATACATATTCTTGATTAGATACATTGGATTGTTCTTTTTTTAATGTCCAACAATTTTCCCCAATTTGTTCATATTTTTTCCGCAATTTGTTCCATCTTCCACCGGCGTTTCGCAAGGCGATCAGCTGGTGTGCCGTTCCAACTGGCTCCCCGTGCGGGACTCCATGGTGGCCTTCTCCGTGAACCGGGGCGGGGAGTATCTCATCGTGGCAGAATTGCCCCAGGAAACCAGTCATGTGGAGAGGATGATCTTCAGGCGAGGGGGGGGGTTTGGGGCCAAGTGGGATGCTGGCCAATGGGTCATTGCATGTCGTATATATATATATATATAATCATATCTATATAGACATGATATTACTATATGTATATAATATAATTATATATATATACATACATACATACATATGTTTGTGTTTCAAAAAGTCTTTTGGAATGACGTTGGATGATTCTTTTTGGTGCCTGTCCTGCTGGTTAGTGGCTTTCCAAGAAAGTTTTCGACCATCTTCAGCATGATGATCCGAAATGACTTTCATATTTTTCTGGCGCTTTGTAAAGCCGCCAATCAGATATTTGTAAACCATTCATCTCGGGTGGGTTTACATAGCTTCAGTCAATGCTTATACATTTGTGCAGGTGTTATGCCTCCCAACCCTACGTCATGGTGGCCGCCCATCGAATGACCCGGAGACATTTGCTGGCCAAGCCAGTGAAGCTTCCAGGTGGGGCACCCGCCACAATTGGAACGATTTGACTATTTGACCAACAGAAATTGATAGGTTTGGATGGATTCTTATTTAATTTATAGGATTGGGTAGCCCCATTTTTTTTCATGGAAACTCAAACATTTGCCATTGAACCGACCTTTTTGTTTTTCCCTGTGGCCCTATAATACAGAATCTGACGAAATCCAAATCCTGGTGTTTCACCCAGACATTTTCCATTCTTTCAAACATCCAGGTGCCTCCAAGTTGAGCTTCGTGGGGCTCATGGAACCCGCTGGCTTCGATAAGGACAAACCGGTGCCCCTGGACTGGGACTACGACGCCATGCGCAAGGCGGTCTTTGACCTGGACACGGGCTGGAACGCCTTGGTACGAGAAGTACAGGAGGATTGCGCCATCATGTGAGGTCGTCCAGCGGATGTGTATGATTATATATATATACATATTACATTTTACATGTCATCGTTGAACATTATACAAACAAATATTATTGATGATTATATGTAATATATGCATAGACTTATATACATAAGAAATATAGGTACATATGTGTAGATTTCTCAACGGAAAGAATCACCATCACATGGGTTGGAATCACTCAACTAAGGATGGATTGGTTGGACTTTGTTCCATCCAAACATGGGCAACAATGAAGTTGTATCCTCCATTAGTGGGGATACTATACAATCCGTATATCTGTTTCTTCAATTTTAGATATGTTCTGTTTTACATCCAACAAATGGAATGATCCCAAAATGGGTTGAAAGCAGCAGCCAGAACACTATACGTACTCTGATTTGTTTCAACTTATAATCTGCACACGACATCCACGGATTCATGTAGTCCAGCGCTGGAATGACAGAAATTCCGCTTACGGAGAAGAACACATCCCTTGGGGCGACCACTCATGCACCCTGGCAGCCCAAAGGGCAGCCCTGGCCCCGCTAGAACAAAGCCAGACGAGACGCGCATTTCGAGATGAAGAAATGTGGAGATGAAGACTGTTGCCAAACTCGGGAAGACTTTGAAGCCAGAACAAACTTGTGGGTCAAATTGTTAAGGCCCTGGGACCCAAAGATATTGTTAATAATGGTGGGGGTACCTAATTTTGACCCATACCACGCTCAAGAACAGGCCGCTCACCTGCACGCATCAAATAGGTGTACTTGGGGCCCTGAGGGTCGCGGTTCCTGGTAGCAAATCATTTGTTGCTTTGTATGCAAGTGTTTTTCACCCTTCAGGATAAACAAATCCATACTTTCCCTGTACTGAAGTAGAACCATCTTCAGTGGCGTTGTAGCTCTCAAGCTCAACGCTAAGGCTGGACCAGGCAGCTCATCAACAGGCCAGATTGTCTTACAAGAAAGCCAGCCAGCTGGTCAACAAGAGGCTCGGATGCCGGCATGATCGCGGCAACATGGTCAACGTCTCTTTTTTGGGCGACCTAGGTTTTTCTCATTATTGAAATTAACATGTGATGAAGAATGCGGTAAGCCAGCAGAAAGACAAGCGATCCCAGGGGTATACCAACTGAGGATGATTTGCTATTGGCTTTACATTGGCTGCAACTTTAGTTGAACCAGGTATGGAGGAAGTGGACCCTCGCAATTGGCCATTTGCATTCTGATGTCGATTTTCCAACCTACGCTCTCGTAATCAAACGTGGCAATGGAACATCGATAATATATATATGATATATGATATATATATATATATGTATGATATATATATATGTACGATATACACATATATATGTTTGATATATATATATGTTTGATGTATATATATATATATTTATGATACACATATATATATGATACACACATATATATATGATATACATGATATATATATGATATATATGATATATATGATATATATCATATATATGATATATATGATATATATGATATACATATATGATATATATATGATATACATACATACATACATACATACATACATACATACATACATACATACATACATACATACATACATACATACATACATACATACATACATACCATTAACATACATACTACATACATACATACATACATACATACATACATACATACATACATACATACATACATACATACATACATACATACATACATACATACATACATACATACATACATACATACATACATACATACATACAACATACATACATACATACATACATACATACATACATACATACATACATACATACATACATACATACATACATACATACATACATACATACATACATACATACTTACATTACATTACATTACATTACATTACATTACATTACATTACATTACATACATTACATACATTACATACATTACATACATTACATACATTACATACATTACATACATTACATACATTACATACATTACATACATTACATACATCACATACATTACATACATTACATACATTACATACATGACATACATTACATACATTACATACATTACATACATCACATACATTACATACATTACATACATTACATACATTACATACATTACATACATTACATACATTACATACATTACATACATTACATACATTACATACATTACATACATTACATACATTACATACATTACATACATTCATACATTACATACATTACATACATTACATACATTACATACATTACATACATTACATACATTACATACATTACATACATTACATACATTACATACATTACATACATAGATGCATAGATACATAGATACATAGATACATACATACAGACAGACTGACAGACTGACAGACTGACAGACTGACAGACTGACAGACTGACAGACTGAGAGACTGAGAGACTGAGAGACTGAGAGACAATACATACAATACATACAATACATACATTACATACATTACATACATACGTTACATACGTTACATACATTACATACATTACATACATTACATACATTACATGCATTACATACATTACATACATTACATACATTACATACATTACATGCATTACATACATTACATACATTACATACATTACATACATTACATACATTACATACATTACATACATTACATACATTACATACATTACATACATTACATACATTACATACATTACATACATTACATACATTACATACATTACGTACATTACATACACTACGTACATTACATACATTACGTACATTACATACATTACGTACATTACGTACATTACATACATTACATACATTACATACATTACGTACATTACGTACATTACATACATTACATACATTACATACATTACATACATTACATACATTACATACATTACATACATTACATACATTACATACATTACATACATTACATACATTACATACATTACATACATTACATACATTACATACACTACATACATTACATACACTACATACATTACATACATTACATACATTACATACATTACATACATTACATACATTACATACATTACATACATTACATACATTACATACATTACATACATTACATACATTACATACATTACATACATTACATACATTTCATACATTACATACATTACATACATTACATACATTACATACATTACATACCATACATACCATACATACCATACATACCATACATACCATACATACCATACATACCATACATACCATACATACCATACATACCATACATACTATACATACCATACATACCATACATACATACATACCATACATACATACATACCATACAAACATACCATACAAACATACCATGCATACATACCATGCATACATACCATACATACCATACATACCATACATACCATACATACATACATACATACATACATGCATACATGCATACATGCATACATGCATACATGCATACATGCATACATGCATACATGCATACATGCATACATGCATACAGACACACATACAGACATACAGACATACAGACATACAGACATGCATACATGCATACATGCATACATGCATACAGACACACATACAGACATACAGACATGCATACATGCATACATGCATACATGCATACAGACACACATACAGACATACAGACATGCATACATGCATACATGCATACATGCCATACATGCCATGCCATACCCTACCCTACCCTACCCTACCCTACCCTACCCTACCCTACCCTACCTACCTACCTACATACATACAGACAGACAGACAGACATACATACATACCATATATATATATACACATACATACCATATACATACCATATACATACATACATACATTACATTACATTACATCACATCACATCACATCACATCACATTACATTACATTACATTACATACATACATACATACATACATACAATACCGTTACCATACCATACCATACCATACATTGGATACATTACATTAGTTACATACATTACATTAATTACATACATTCCATTCCATTCCATTCCACTCCATTCCATTCCATTCCATTCCATTACATTACATTACATTACATTACATACATACATTAATTACATACAAACATACATACAGACCGACAGTCAGACAGACAGACGGACAGACAGACAGACAGACATACAGACATACAGACACACAGACATACAGACATACATACGTACGGACATACATACGTACATACATACATACGTACACACATACATTCATTCATTCATTCATTCATTCATACATACATACATACATACATACATACACACACACAGACACACTCAGACACACACACAGATATACATAGATACATCCATACATCCATCCATCCATCCATCCATCCATCCATCCATACACACACGTATATATAGGTATATATCTTATGTCGACACTTTTCTGTTAAAACCCCATTTGCAGGATTTTCCACTGCCATTTTTGATTACCAGAGGGTATCGGCCCTGCGAGTTTCTCAGCTGTCGGCAGATGAGGCCAGGACTTTTGGCAGCTCAAGGTCTACAGGATGCGTGGGGAAACTCGGACCCGGGGACCTAGGGGACCTCGGAAGGATATGGGGGGCCAAAGTATACCCTGTGAATAGAGATTGTAAGCACAGAATATTTGACAATCTGATGACAGCTTAATTCATATTTCACGACGTATATCATTTAATGTGTGTATATATATATATGTATGTATGTATATATATAGATGCTACCTCCCCTAAGACCTACCTGATATATCCTTGACATCCTCTTTCTTACTGCTTATATTATCACTTGTTGTAACACTAACTACAGCCGGAAAGTACCTGTTCAATTGCAATAAACAATACCGTACGCACTACACATGTATTGAAATTTGGTCACTCTACTGCGACCACTGTGGCCAAATGCAAGGTTTGAATATATGATTCATTTCTGATTGATGCAATTTTTCGCCACAGAATCTGAAACTA